CGTCCCTTTGGTTCCCTCTTTTTATTGTTGGATGGGTTTTTATGTTTGTCAGAGACTGGTTGCTCTAAACCCTCCAGCACAGTGGCAATGGGCAATCACATTGCCCTGCACTTCCTGCGGGCTGGTCAAGGTGAGGTGTGTGGCTGCCAGCCTCTCTTGCTGCGTTATTTAGTCAACGACCTGTTTGCTGTCTTGGCTGGGGGTTGGGCTGTGTAGGCCTGGGCAGCCCACAGAGGGGCAGCTGTGCCTACTCTAGTCTGAGGGTTTCTAAGACGAGGAAAGTGGAGTTGGTCCATGGTAGCCCACAGAATGGGAGAAAATATTTGCAGTTCATATATCTGAGGAGGGATGGATATCCAGAATATAGAGAGGACACCTAAGACTCCCCAACAAAGACAACACGATTCAAAAATAGGCAAAGGACTTGAATAGACATTTTCCAAAGACAGACAAATGGCCAATAAATAAGCACATGAAAAGATGCTCAACATCACTGATCATTAGGGAAATGCATATGGAAACTACAAGGAGACACCACCGGACACGCATTCGATGGCTACTATCAACAAAACAAAATAACAGGTGTGGGCGAGGATGTGGAGAAATTGCAACATTTTCACACCATTTTTGGGAACGTAAAGATGCTCATGAGCCTGGGAAGGATAACCAGTCTGCAGGTCTTCGGTAAATATTGACAACGGACTTATGCAATTAAGACACAGGGAACTTGTCTGGAAGGCTTCCATTTAAATGGTCACAAGAAGTTTATTCCTTGAAGAAATATTCTTATGTAGAAACACCTTATTTCCTCACGGAGAGCAAATAAAATGTGATGATACTATGGTTCCAGACAAATGCCCAGAAGCTCTTTCCCAAGAACCCACTAGAAGGAGGCAAGAGAGTCTATAAAATAGCCCGCGCGTAGGTGTGTGGATATGCTTCTGTCAACAGCTATAGTGGAAAGAGCACCATGGGGTTCTCTGAGTTGCTCCACACCATCGGTGGTATGGGGAACTTCCAAATCCTTCAAACTGCTCTCATGATGTTCCCTGCCATCCTGATCGCCTGTCACAGCTTCCTGCAGAACTTCACTGCCACGACCCCAAAACATCACTGCCGGCCAGCCAACTGGACCAACGGGTCCCATGTCCCGGGTGGTGTCGGGGATGGGGACTTGCTGCAAGTCTTCATCCCACTGGACAAGGACCAGAAGCCTGAGCAGTGCCTGAGGTTCTCTGAGCCCCACTGGCAGATCTTAAACCACAATGGCACCTCGTCTTTGAGCTTGGACACCGAGGCCTGCCTGGATGGGTGGGTGTATGACCAGACTGTTGCCTCCTCAATCGTTTCTGAGGTGAGGTAAAGCTACAGCTGAACGCTGGGTCTTCAGATGATTTTTTTTGTTTGTTTTATTTTAACGGAGACATAACTTATTCCATTAAATGCTCAAAATTTAAATGTGCAGCTGGATAAATTTTACATATGTAAACACCAGGTCAAGGTACAGGTTATTTCATTTTTTTTTTTTTTTAAGATTTTGAGAGAGCGAGAATGAGAGAGAGTACATGAGAGGGGGGAGGGTCAGAGGGAGAAGCAGGCTCCTCGCTGAGCAGGGAGCCCGATGCAGGACTCGATCCCGGGACTCCAGGATCATGACCTGAGCCGAAGGCAGTTGCTCAACCAACTGAGCCACCCAGGCGCCCATTACAGGTTATTTCTAAGGACCCCAGAAGGTTCCCTTGTAATCTTCTGCATCACTACTACCCCCCACCCACCGCCAGTATAACCACCAATCAGACCTCTATCACCATCACTTGGTACCACTTATGCTTGAATTTCATATGAATGGAATCATAGAGTATGTGTTCTTTAGTGTGTTGGGATTTTTTTCATTCAATATAGATTTTTAAGAGTCATCCATGTTGATATATGCTTTGGGAGTTGGTTCTTTCTCAGTTCCTCAGAGCATTCCGTTGCACGAATATGCCACAGAGTATATGTCCATTCTTTTTTTTTTTAAGTAATTTTTAAAAGACATTTTATTTATTTGAGAGAGAGAGAGAGAGCACAAGCGGGGGGGGAGGGGTAGAGGGAGAGGGAGAAGGAGAAGGAGACTCCCCACTGAGCAGGGAGCCCGATGCGGGGCTCGATCCCAGGACCCTGGGATCATGACCTGAGCTGAAGACAGATGCTTAACTGACTGAGCCACCCAGGTGCCCCTGTTTTCTTGTTTTCCCCCAAATTTCTCAGACTGCTGAATGAAATGAGAACAAAAAGCAGGAAAAAATGAAGCATTTCAAGTAAACTGGGTCTAGATTCATGTTGGTCATCTTTCTTTTAGGGTAGAGGTTTCCTAAGACTCAGGACCATGTGTTTTATAAAACATCTGGGATAATGTGCTTGACATTGATATAGAGGTTCGTGCCATTTAAAATAAAAGGGCCAGGGCTGAGGATGGCAGCATTATGTGCTTAAGGGCAAGCTGTGGGACCGTGTTAGCATGTAAGAGGTGACGAGGCAGCTCTTAATATTCTATGGAAGCCACATGGTGAGGATGCATGAGCCACCTGCTGACACTTATGTCTCTTTTTCTCCAGTGGGACCTGGTGTGCGAGCACAAGTCACTGAAGTCCATTGCCCAGTCCATATACATGACGGGACAGCTGGTTGGAGCTACTGCCTTTGGCATCTTCTCTGACAGGTGAGGGCAGGAGGCCCGAGGAAGTCTCCAGAAGCTTCCTACGAGGCTAGAGTTCATGCTATGCCCACACTGTCTTCAAAGGCTCAGGACCCCACTTGAGAAGACCCCCCCCATGTCCTTCTCCCTGCCAGACAGCCAGGGCCACACCCGAGACCTCAAAAGGAGGGGCCGGGGTAGAGCGCTCGCCCCTCCCTGCCTGGGTCCTGGACACCCCACTTTTCTAGGAGACAGTCCCTGGTCATGCATCCGATGTGGCTGAGGTGATGATGCCTCCCTTTTTTGTTCTGCAATGAACTGCAATCATGAATCTCGAATTACTTTCTGCTTGGGGATGAATTTTGAGTCACGTGGCAGAACGCCTTCATCATGTGAATGGCGATGAAGCTGGGTCCGTGGTCTCATTTCTGCCATCCGTGATTTCCCCGCAGGGTTGCCCCCACAGGTCGCTTCCCCAGGAAGAAAGAGCCCCTGTGATGGTCATTATTGTTGTGAACGGCTAATTCTACCGAGCGCTCTCCCACATCCTCCCAGTAGCCCTGGGTAGCTGCTCCCATTTCACAGATGAAATGAGGCTTAGCACCACTGGTCTTACAGAAAACTGATTCCAGCATGGACATTTAGTCCCTGTTCTTGGAAGTGACGATGATGTTCCCGTGAGGAAGAAGCTCTGTGCTCGATGCCACATCTAGACAGATAGTCCTGGTTAAAGCTAAACAAGTCAAGGCACATTTCTGAGAAAGCCAACCCTGGGTACGGTGTCTTCTGGTCTTTTACCTCTCTTGGTTTTTGCCAGCCTGTAGGATGCATCCGTCCAGTGCAGCAGAAAGAGGATTTCAAGTGGACATCAGCGGAGCTGGGCTCTGCCCCTCTATGGAACCTTAGAAAATTCACTTAGCTCTTGGGATCATTTCTGTACAATTGAGGGGCTTTCCCAGTCACCCAGTGGCCCCAGTTGCCCCTGTCTCCCCTGGCTGGGCTCCAGGAACACTCAGCCTCTGGCCCCTTTGCTGGGAAACCCAGCCTTGAGCTCTGGGCAGGAGGGACTGGTGACGCAAAGGCCTTGCTCATCGGAAAGGAGGCCATCTGGAGGGCCCCAGACTCTGTCCTCACCCCCACCCGACCTAGAGGTGAAAGGAGGGAACTAAGTCATCTCCATGGGGCCGGCAGGGAGCTCTTGCTTTAAATGCCAGTCCCCAAGTAACAAGGGGCCTGCAGCCTGGCCAAATAGTATCTTGTATTCAGATAGCTGAGAGCCACGGGGTATCCAAGGTAGAGCTCCAGTCTACCTCCAGGCACCCACCTCTGGAAAGAGCCCTGGTAGGGGGTGGAATGACCTCCAGAGTGTGTAAACGCCACCTCTTCTCCACTGTTTGCCTGATCCCTTTTGAGACATCCCCTTGACTCCCCCTCCCTTCCCCCCTACCTCCCCCACTCTCCCCTCCTCTCCAGTATACCAGCAAACCCTGTTGGCTCTGTCATCAACATAGATCAGAACCCACCTCCTCCTCTCGCCACCCGCTAGGCTACCACTCATTCATCTTGCACCTGGCTGGCTGAAACAGCCTTTGAGGGAGCCTCCCTGCTTCTTCCTATCCTTGATCTTTGCCTTCTGTTACTCTCAAATCGATGGGAAGAGCGATCTTGTTAGATACAGAACAGATCCTGGCCCTCCTCTGCTCAACCTTCCACCAGCTCTCCGGTTCTTAGCCAGTGAAGCCTAATGGGCACATGGCCTGCTGGCCCTGCCTGGGCTAGCCCCAGATCCACTGCCGTGAACCCAGCCCCACCCCCCCTTCTTCCTCCTGCCCTTGCACTGGCTGTTGCCCCCACCAGGGGCATTATGCCCAGGACACCTCTTCAGGTCACTTCTCACAGCCTCGAAGTACAGTGATGTGGATTTCTCACCGGCTGTGGGTGTGGGGCAAGTCATTTCAGCTTGAGCCTCTGTCTTCTCATCTGTAAAATGGGAATAATGACGCTATTGACCCGAGATGACTTGGGAGGAGCCCCAGCACACCTCAGTGCTATGTCTGTGGTGCTTCGTTGTGTCACCGGCCCAGAGGACCTTCTCTGGCCACCTTATTTACAACTGCAGCCCCTCTGACATTCCGTGTCCCCGTGCTCTGCTCCGGTTTGTTCTGTGGCCTCTGACGGTCTATGTATTTTACCCATTTATCTTACTTATTGTCTGATTTCTCCCTGACCACAGCTCTCGCACAGTGCCCCAGGCCAGGGCTGTGGGTACGGGTAGGGGGGTCCCGTGGGGAGGGGCAAGTGAGCTCCTGGTGGAGTCCTCAGCCCTTGGCACCTGCCTGGCACACAGGGGTGTAAGAGGAGGTAGAAGAGAATGAGAGTGGGCTCAAGGGTCGTTTGGAACATTCGAGCCATTGCTCACACTCCCTCCCCCATGGGGCGGGGACCAGAAGCCACACTCAGATGCCAATTACAGCCCCATCCGGAGACAGCTATACTTTAACAAGGAACAGAGCCAAGAGGCAAAGAATTGACCGTCCTCCCATAGGGGAATTCTAGGCCTTGGCAACTCGTGTGGGGAGGGGCCGGGGCAAGGAGGGAGTCCCTTCCCAAGGCCTTTTTCTTCGATTGGGAGGGTGTCAAGAGGAGGTCAGGAATACCTTCCCAGGACCCTCAATCACATTGTGAAGGCAGCTTCCCAAGCCCTTGTCTAAGGATGCAGTGAAGTGGGGGGCTGACAGGTGGAGGGAAGCAGACTGGAGCGAAAGCAGAGGCAGAGTGGCCTCTAGTCGCCTTTGCAGCCGGACCCCGGGCTCAGCCTGGCCTCCCTGTCTATCCTGGCTGCAGCTGTGGGCGCAAGACGGCGCTGCAGAGCGGGACCCTGCTGATGATCATCATGGGCACCAGCGCCGCTTTCGCGTCCAGCTTCCCCGCCTACTGCGTGCTCCGCTTCCTCAGTGGGGTGGCAATGACCGGCATCATTATCACCAGCCTCTGCCTCGGTGAGTACCCCTGCGGAGCCCTGGCTCCCCCACTAGCTGCTGTGCGACCTGGGGGGGCACTTCAGGTAACCTGCCCGGGCCTCAGTTTCCCCATCTGTAATAGGGGGTGATAAAGATAGTACCTTCCTCATCTCATGCATATTTATAGAATGATACATGGCACCCACGAAGACCTCAAGAAATGTTAGCTATTTTTAAGGTGGTGGCTTAAGCACCCCAGGCTCAGATTCCAGTGACATAGTCCTTGCCTGTGAAGGGGAAATCATCACAGATGCCCCTGCATATGGGGTGTTACGAAGATCAAATGAGATGGCAGAAGTTGCTTGGGACAGTGTGTCCTGGGTGGCACTGAGCAGGGTCAGAGCCCACCCATCAACTGGGATCGTCAGGGGAAAGTTCCGCAGGGGCATCGCCTGGGGTCCCTGTCACTGGCCGACCCAGGCCCTGTGGAGCTCATTACCAGCAATGCCAAACTTGTCATCCCCAGCCATGGAGTGGACCCCAACGCAGAGTCGGATGCTGGTCAATATCTACACCATGTATATGATCACACTGGGCCAGGTGGTCCTCACGGGCCTGGCCTACCTCATCCACCAGTGGCGCTGGCTACAGGGCACCGTTTCTGTCGCCTACGTGATTATTCTTCTCTACTCCTGGTACGTCGTCTCCCAGACGTACTGTGCAGAGTTGCCTTGTCTGGTCTGTCTTCCTGGGAAGTGTTTGCTGACCTGAGAGCTTACTTTGGCTTGGGTCTGCTGAGATCTGACCTCCTTAAGGAGAGAAGAGAGGACCCTTGGTATACGACGAGGTGTCTTCATTTGATTTTTTTTCTCCATATCATCCTTGGTGAGTAGTCCTGCACCATTTGGGGTTCTAAGCGGCTGCACACTTGACCCCATACCAAATTCAGTCCTGAGTGACTACAAGGCCCCTCAGAAGCCCCAGGCTCCCATGAAATACCTCATGGGGTCAGACTTGAAGATTTCTGGCCACTCCACTCAGCCAATGAGATGAGATTTACCATACAAATCCAGAGCCGCAATGAAAGTAAGAACTCTCATAAAAATGACAGTGAAGATCCATACTAGTGCCATGAGAGATTTTGAGAGTGTAGCATGAAATGAGCAATGTGGGTAACAGAAGATGTGTACAACTTGGAGATCGTTTTGCAAAAACAAACACGTGCTTACGTCTGTATCTTGCGATCTGACAAAAAGGAAAATGGGGAAAACAACCACCAGCCCATTCACAGTTGCTCTCCTTATTCCTCCCGTTTTGCTTTTTTGGACTTTCCCTTGGATCTCCCTGTTTTCGGGTGGGCCAGCCCTTGACACATGGTGACTGGGACAGCGAGCCCAGTGCCTGTGTGGGTACTGTGGGTGGAGATCCCTTGGCACCTCCAGATGATCGGGGTCAGGGGTGGGCAGGAGGCTCTGCCTTGTCTGATCGTGCCTCCAGATCATTCCCTCCCTCACCCCATTCCCTCTCACTCCTAGGGGCCTGCCAGAATCCGCGTGCTGGCTCATCACTCACAACAAACCTGACAAGGCTGTGAAAAATCTGCAGGCTGTGGCAAGATTAAATGGCAAAAAGGATCAGGGAAGGAAACTCACTCCAGAGGTACGCACAAAGGGAACCCACACGCTACCTGAACCCTTCCTCCTGACCTGGTGGTAATTCTCAGTGAGGGCTTAAGTTGGCTGCCAAGGGTGAACAAGAGGTAAGTTTCTACATCCAGAAGTAGTAACTGCCACCATCAGATAGCCAGGGGACCTGTGGGACAAGTGTCCTGTTACACCATTTCTCAGAAGCTACCACAGGGTACATTCCACCAAAACGAGAATGTCCACCAGGGAATCCAGGAAATAGAAGATCCGAAATAGGAGAAAGGGAAAGAAGAAGGGAAAGAGTTGTACAGAAACCTAGAGAACAATCAGTTTATACTGAAGCAAAAGAATACCATATCCTGGAAGTCTTTCATGAAGAAAAAAAAATGATGCTGAGAGATTGCTTGTTATGCTTTTTTTTTTTTAAGGTCATTTTTTAAAAAGATTTTATTTATTGATTTGACAATGAGAGAGAGCACAAGCAGGGGGAGTGGCAGGCCGAGGGAGAGGGAGAAGCAGGCTTCCTGCTGAGCAGGAAGCCCAATGTGGGACTCGATCCCAGGACCCCGGGATCATGACCTGAGCCGAAGGCAGTTGCTTAACCAACTGAGCCACCCAAGCGCCCATGTTATACTTTATCTTATTAACAGGAGTTTTATGGTTCTATCAAAGAATTTGGGGATAAATTAGTGCCAAGTACTTAAGAAATCAAGAATATAAGCAAGCAAATACACAAAAGAGGCAATTATTAACTCCAGGAAAATAAAAAACTCATGTCATGGAAAGAAATATAATCAGAGTACGCTACATGGTTCAACTCTGAATGAGACTTACATTGGGAGAATTACAGAAGGGAAAGTATAGGTCAGAGGTGGTAGAGTAAGAGGGTTAAATCCTCATTCTTTCTTAGTATAAATCAATCTAGAGTTGGAAAATCAAGCCATAGCATTGTAGCATTTTATCTGGAAATAGGAGATAAATATGAGAAGAAACACCTAGAAGAGTAGAAAGCAGTTGCTTCTGGAGAGTAGGAATTGGGAGTGGTACTAGAGAAAGGAGAGGCAGGGACCTTTCTAACTATGAACATGAAGAAACAAAATAACAATGGCTAAGATCCCAGACTCAGGACCATTCACCTGGGTGACTCCCAGCTCTCTACTTACAGCTCTGTGATCTTAGGCAAGTTATTTAACCTTCTGAGCTTCAGTTTCCTCATCTGTAAAAAGGATAATAGCATCTCCTTTACATTCAATAAGTTAGTTCACATCAAGTACTTAGACCCCCATCCGGCAAATAACAAGGGCTCAATAAATGAGGGTCATTGTTGACCATCAAGAAAAACTAGTTAAAAGAAAAGGAGAAGTTGCTCCAAAAGAGAATACACACCCAAAATCTGAAGTCCTCTATTTCTTTTTGGACGTGTGTGTGAAGGAATTGGCCAATGTGGGAGGAATCAAGTGATTCTGTGGCATCAGAAAGTGGAAGGACTAAGCGCCAGAGCCCTTTCTTCTGGCATCTCCACTCTGGTCTTTTCCTGCTAGGTTGTAAGGATCCACATGCAGGAGGACACAGCTGCTGTGAAGGAGTCCCCATTCTTCCTAGATCTCTTCCGCACTCCGGGACTCTGCAGGGTGACTTGCTGTATCACCCTGGGATGGTGAGTGGGGCCCCAGAGAGTGACCCCCTGGTCATTCACCTGACACCTGTTCCTGAGTTGTCATTCCCTGGTGCCCCACTGGCTTGAGACAGAGATGCAGGCAACAGATCATGGCTAAGCAATCTGAGAAGATGGGAAAACCTGGCAAAGTCTGGAACTTGAGAGGATTTAGTTTTAGAATAGGATCACATCGCATCCATGGCCAAAAGGTTGGAAAGACTCCTTCCATTGGAAAGAAAGGCAAACCATGGGCCACCTCTAGGGTATGAAATAAATTACTGGCACTTTCTCTCTTCCAGGTTTTCCACAGGCTTTTCTTTCTATGGGCTGAGTTTAGATGTGCAGAAATTTGGGTTCAACATCTACTGGACACAAGTGCTGTTTTCAGTGGTGGATATCCCCACAAAGCTGCTGACAGGCCTGAGTATGGCCTACTTTGGCCGCCGAATCACCACCGTCTCCCTGCTGCTGGTGGCTGGTTGCATGATCCTTATCACTGCATTTCTTCCTCAAGGTGAGGTTTCCTTCTGGGTCTCGTGAAAATTCTCTTCTGATATGATGGACAACATGGTCCAGTTTAATGATTCAGAGCAGACTGGAGAACCAGATGAACCTGTTTTCAAGTGGTCTCCTGTGATCATGGACAAGTTGACCCACTTACCCTCTGCTGACCCTCACAGTTACTTAGGAAGAATAATTAAGAGGCCGTTATTGGGGGTTGACAGCATGCCAAGCACTGTGCTAGCACTTCACATGTATCAACTCATCTGACCATCACGAGGACTCCATGAAGTGCTTTTATAACTGAAGCATAAATAAATAAAGCACAGAGAGGTGAAGTGACTTGTCCAAGGTCACACAGCTAATAGGTGTTAACATTGGAGAAAACAATATGATGGCTTCATGGGTGTTTTTGTCATATCAATCTCTATAGTTTTCCATATGTTTGAAATAATTTTTTTTTAAGATTTTATTTATTTGACAGAGAGACACACAGTGAGATAAGGAACACAAGCAGGGGGAGTGGGAGAGGGAGAAGCAGGCTTCCCACCGAGCAGGGAGCCCGATGCGGGGCTCGATTCCAGGACCCTGGGACCATGACCTGAGCCGAAGGCTGGCACTTAATGACTGAGCCACCCAGGCGCCCCTGAAATAATTTTTTAAAAAATAATAAAAGATCATGTGTAAAAGTTCTTATCCCAGTGCCCGGCTCATGGTAAACATTGAATAAATTTTAGTTATCATCATATAGGTAAGTTTATAAAGGTATAAATTCAGCCTTCTGAGATCTAGTAGCAAGGGATACTAATTTGAGATGGTTGTAGGAATCACAGAAATCTAGAATCCTGCAAGTAGGAGGTGTGTTGAAGACTGCCTCATCTATCATTTCACTGATGAGAACACTGTGTCCATGGGACAGTCACTTCCCCGACTCCCCAAGACAGGGCTAATCTCAGCATCCCTCACTCCCCAACTCCCCCTTCCTCATCTGAAAATATCAACTTTGATTGTTAGTTATTTCACAGCTATTTCTTGAGCACCTGCCTACCCTGGGCTCAGAGCAGACCCAGGTTCATGGAGCCTAGAGGCCTTCAGGGAGACAGACGGTAACCAATCGCTTCGTGTCAATTGCTGTTGGGATCAGTGCCTCAGAGGAGATGTCCAGGGAGTCAGGAAATATACAGTGGGCTTGATCCAGTGAACAGGGTTTGCCAAAGTAGCATTTGAGTTGAGATCTGAAGAAGAATGAGAAATAAGTAGGTGAATAGTGGGGAGGGGAGCACGCTGAGGAGCGAGAACAGCGAGTGCAAAGGCCCTGAGGCAGAGAGGTGCTTGACACATTGAGATGTCAGAACAGGTGATGGCATTGACATTTAATTAATTCCCTTTTGTCTACACCCCACCCACCACCTTCTCTCAGACATGAATACCTTTCAGATGATCCTCTGTTTATTTGGAAAAGGGAGCCTGGCTGGCTGTTTTAGTTGTCTCTACCTATACACCATGGAGCTCTTCCCAACAGAAGTCAGGTAAGAAGATGGATCAGAGTCTCTGGGACCAAGAAGGCAGCCTCTGTCCCTCAGGGCTGGGCCACTAAGGAAACCAGCTTCCATATGGAAATGGTTTTGTGGTGTCACATCTCAAAGGAGCAGGTTCGTGTCACTATTTTATCGTGATTTTGGTTATCATAGGACATTGCTCTTGGATAGTGACTGGAGCTTGACAGGCACTCCATAAATGGTCTCATTTCTATAGCTTCAGAAAAGTGTAAATATCTTAGATAGCCATAGGAAATCGCTGAGTTGAGGACGTCGAGTACTGGAACAGTGCCTAGCACAAAACACATGCTCAGTAAGTATTAGCTGTCAGTTTTTCCATCATTGTTATGGTTCCCAATAAGTATCCTGTGGGACCACATCTGAGATGAACGTTCCCTTCCCCATGATGTGCCCCCACATGACCCATATCAAGATCTGGCCCTTTGCCACACAGCCTTCTTATCTCTCGTGCACTGGCCCTGAGGCTCAGCGCCTGGTTCATTCATTCATTCATCAAATCCTATTAGACTTGTTGCAGGTGCTTGAATTAGGGCAGCGCACATGCAGGGTCCCAAACCCTTCCTATGGTCTCTCTTACCACAGGCAGATAGGGATGAGTGCCGGAATCTTCAGCACACGCCTGGGCTCCCTCTTGTCCCCACTGGTCTACATCCTAGGCAATCATAGCCCACTGCTACAGCCTGTGATATTTGGCCTGGTCCCTATCCTGGCGGCTGCAGCAGGCACCTTCCTGATGGAGACGAATAACCAGCCATTGCTGAACACCATCCAGGAGACAGAGAAGAGGTAAGAGCCTTCCTGCTCCATCTCTCCAGCATTTCAGAACGTCCTTGTAGACTGTGGGGACGGAGCAGTGGGAATGGGTCTGCTGGGGTTCTTGCTGCCCTGGCAGGAGTGGGGCACCCCCTGGGCCCATTTCAGGACTCTGGGGCAGCTCCTGCTGCCCCTGCCCCTCCATCTGTATATGTAATAATAGCTTCGGGTGTATTAAACTTGGTGGTGACTGTCCGGGAGCCTGATGAAGCATTTGGAGGTAAATCATGCAGGAGGCCATATACAATGCTGCCAAATTTTCCTTTTATTAAATACATCATCACTTTGAATGTGGAGGGGACCTGTTGAATGGCTAAAGTCCCTCCTCTCACCTAACCTATGGCTGCAAAACCACATGGTGATGACCAAGGAGGTCAGTCTGTTCCTCCAGATGAAGTTCAGCCATGCTTTCTATTTTAGAATGAAGGTGGTCATTCTACCCACTGAATCTACCCACTGAACACTTCTTTGCAAGTGGGTTCCTTGTCTGTGGCTTGGCTGATCTGGGCTGGGCTTGAGTGTGTCTGCAGGTTGGGGGGGCTCTGCTCCAGATGGGCTGGTCTGGTCTGGGGGCAACTCCCTGGAGGCAGCTCTGCCTCTCCATTTCATCCTCCTTCTGGGACCAGCAGGCCCCTCCTTTTCAGGGCAGTGACAGAGACCCAAGAGCCCTTCCATCCACGAAGCTCTCACTTTTCCACTCAGAGCTTATTCTATGCTTCTCCCTGCCCAGAATAAAGATGGCTCATGACAAGCAAAGAAACGTCAGTGAAAATACCACCAAGAATGGATTGGTCGCACTTCTTCCAGAAAAGACAAAAGTAGAATGCCCAGTGTGATTTCTTTGGACCCACACCTATATTCTGAATGGCCCTTGCTCTCTTCACAACTTTCTCACATTTTGAAATGTGAAGGATCTTGCCAAGGAAATGCTGTGGCACCTCACTTGACCGTCTACTGGAAAAAGCAATGATAGTGCTGTGATATGGAAATATTATAAGGCAGATGAGTCATTCGACTTATAGACCAACTGAGAAAAGACATGTATTGGACAATCAAGGACATTTGAATAGGAAGAATGAGCTTTAAATAAATATTAAGGGATCTGTTGATTTTGTGAAGTTGGCAGCGGCATTAGGTTATATAAGCCAATGTCCCTTCTTAAAAAAGAAAAAAGATGTTAACTTGAAGTATTTAGGAATGAAATGAAACATTGGGAATTTGCTTTAAAATACTAGAAAAGTGCACAGAGTGAGTGCCAGGCTTGAAGCAGGGGGTTCGTTGTACCTCCTACCTTTGGATGTGTTTGGAAATTTTTATGATAGAAGTATTTTTCAAGCCCAGCAGATTTTTTCTACGGTTAATGTAAAATGATGACTTGATGGCTAAAAACATCTCCCAGGCTGCCTCCCCAAGGGTTTTGTCTCCTCTGTGGTGTCTCTTGTCAGACCATGTAGCCCTTAGTAGCCACAGGTTATGGCCACGTCCTGCACTGCCTGTGGACAACCCAACCAGCACTGACGTGCAGCCCAGGGCCAGCTGCAGCCACCTGCCCAGATCACAGGCTGGATGCCTGAGACTACAAAAGGCCAAAAACCGAGCAGAGCTTCCAATGGCAAGTGGTGGATAGGTGTGTCCAAGATATGGATCCGAGTGCAATTGACATAGCACCCCTCGCTAGTTACTGATATTGCTCCTACATTTGGTAATGGCCATTTTGATATATAAGGACATATGCTTGAGACCATGACCAGAAAGCCCCCACAGGGCTACTGTACGGAGAAGAGCCCGAATTTCTGAAAAGTCACAGAGTCCCTTTGTTATCAGTGAGGTTCTCTGTTCAGCACGGACATGTAAATGTATATATTTTTTTCTACACCTAAATTTCTCTAACATAGAAGACATATCGAATTATTGCTGTGTTCATGCTTTGTTACTAGCATCTGATCTAACGATGTTAAAATAGAATACAATAAATTTCGTTGTTTCTCAATTGCTAATTCATGTTTTGTTATTTGTTTGTTTATTGTTTGCTTATTTATCAGCTTTAGGTATTAGCAATTAACCAATATCCGATTCTTGTTTGAATTATGATTATGAATTATAATTATATTATGGTTTGTTTTTAGAAATAAAAATCCCTTTTTTGAAAACAGATCATTGGGGCACCTGGGTGGCTCAGTTGGTTAAGCGACTGCCTTCGGCTCAGGTCATGATCCTGGAGTCCCGGGATCGAGTCCCTCATCGGGCTCCCTGCTCGGCAGGGAGTCTGCTTCTCCCTCTGACCCTCCCCCTCTCATGCTCTCTGTCTCCCATTCTCTCTCTCAGATAAATAAATAAAACCTTTCAAAAAAAAAAATGAAAACAGATCATTGAACATAATTGAATTAAAGTAGTACATCAAAGTGCAATATAAACCATGACTGCTTCAGAAAGTCTAAGTTTAAAAAGATTTTGGGAGGGGGCGCCTGGGTGGCTCAGTTGGTTAAGTGACTGCCTTTGGCTCAGGTCATGATCCTGGAGTCCTGGGATCAAGTCCCACGTCGGGCTCCCGGCTCAGCGGGGAGCCTGCTTCTCCCTCTGACCCTATCCCCTCTCATGCTGTTTCTCTCTCTCTCTCTCTCTCTAATAAATGAAATCTTTAAAAAAAAAAAAAGACTAAAAAAAAAAGATTTTGGGAGGAGCAAGATGGCAGAGGAGTAGGAGCCCTAAATTTCGTCTGGTCCCAGGAATTCAGCTGGATAGGGATCAAACCATTCTGAACACCTACGAACTCAACAGGAGGTCGAAGAAAAGAATAGCAGCAACTCTCTGAACAGAAAAGCGACCATTTTCTGGAAGGTAGGATGTGCGGAGAAGTGAATCCGAGGCGATATTTGGGAAGATAGACCATGGGGGGAGGAAACCTCACATCATCTGGCTACTGGCAAGTGATAGAGCAGAGGAGCACAAAATCGGAACTTTTAGCAGTTGGTTCCGCTGAGGGACATTGCTCCAGTGGCTAAGCAGGGGGTGGAACCCTCGCTGGGACACTGTGGTCTCAGGACCCTCAGGATCACAGAAAGACCGGGGGTACCTGAGTGCAACAGAGCTCCCAGGTATGGGAGTGGGAAAGCTGGCTGCAGAGACAGAGCCGAGGCCCGGGCTCTCAGCTCGGGGTTGCCATAAACCGTGATCTGTGGCACAGTTAGGCCACTGCTCCCCCAGCAGGGACCCAACAAGCGGCAGATCTGGGGAGACTCACCTTCCTCCCCCTGGGAGGAGCGGCGCGGGAGTGCACCGCAGGGATCTGCTGGGTTTGGAGACTCCACACGGGGTCGGGTGCCAGAGATAGAAACGCGCGGTCACAGGCTGGGTGAGCACGGAGTGCGGCTGGAGACCGGGGAGACGGGAGTGACTGACTGCTTTTCTCTGGGGGCGCACTGAGGAGTGGGGCCCTGAGTTCTCAGCTCCTCCGGGGCAGAGATTGGGAGGCTGCCATTCTCACTCTCATCCTCCAAAGCCGAACAGAAAGCTTACAGGGAACAAAAGCTCCCGAGAGCAAACCCGAGCAGATTACTTAGCCCGGACCAGCAAGGGCGGGGCAATTCCGCCTCCGGCAAAGACATTTGGGAACCACGGCAACAGGCCCCTACCCCAGAAGATCAGCGAGAACAGCCAGACAAGACCAAGTTTACCCATCAATGAGAACCGCAGAACTCCAGCGCTGGGGGAATACTGCACATAGAATTCATGGCTTTTTTCCCATGATCCTTTAGTCTTTCAAAGTTAATTTTTTTAATTTTCTTTTTTTTCTTTTTCTATTTTCTTTGAATTTTTCTTTTTCCTTTTTCCTTTTTTTTTTTAAAGATTTTATTTATTTATTTGAGAGAGAGAATGAGAGACAGCACAAGAGGGAAGAGGGTCAGAGGGAGAAGCAGAACCCCCGCTGAGCAGGGAGCCTGATGAGGGACTCGATCCCAGGACTCCAGGATCATGACCTGAGCCGAAGGCAGTCGCTTAACCAACTGAGCCACCCAGGCGCCCTTTTTCCCCTTTTTCAACCAACATCTTATCAATCCCTTTTTTAAAATCTTTTTTTTTTTCATTTTTAGAGTCATATTCTATCCCTTCATTGTAGTTAACCTCATTTTTTGTATATATATAAGTTGTTCTCTCTTTAAAATTTTGGGATACAGTTTCTTCTAACAGACCAAAATATACCCTAAATCTCTAGTGTATGGCTTTGTTCTAGTCTCCTGCCTGATCACATTCTCTCCCTTTCTTTTTTTTTTATTTCTCTTCTTTCTTTTTTCAACCAACTTCTTATCTTATCAACTCCTTTTATAAAATCTTTTATAATTTTCATCTTTACAGTCATATTCCATCCCTTCATCGTATTTACCCTTATTTTTGTACATATATAAGTTTTTCTTTCTTTAAAATTTTGGGAGGCAGTTTCTTCTAACAGACCAAAATACACCCAAAATCTAGTGTGTGGCACTGATCTATTTGCCAGCCTGATCATATTTGATCATATTCTTTTTTCTTTCTTCCTTTCTTTCCCTCTCTTTTCCCCCCAGTTTTGGGTCTCTTCTGATTTGTTTACTGTATATTTTTCTGGGGCCATTGTTACCCTGTTAGCATTTTGTTCTCTCATTCACCTATTCTCCTCTGGACAAAATGACAAGACAGAAAAACTCACCTCAAAAAAAAGAACAAGAGGGCGCCTGGGTGGCTCAGTTGGTTAAGCGACTGCCTTCGGCTCAGGTCATGATCCTGGAGTCCCGGGATTGAGTCCCACATTGGGCTCCCTGCTCGGCGGGGAGTCTGCTTCTCCCTCTGACCCTCTTCCCTCTGGTGCTGTCTCTCATTCTCTCTCTCAAATAAATAAATAAAATCTTTAAAAAAAAAAAAAAGAACAAGAGCTCCTCCAGTTCAAAATGGCGGCATTGGCAGCAGCGGCAGCCGCGATGGTTCCTCCGGGCTGCCCCGGTTTGTGCCCCAACTTCGCTGTAGTCTGCTCCTTCTTGGAGCGCTACGGGCCGCTGCTCGACCTGCCTGAGTTGCCGTTTCCCGAGCTGGAGCGGGTGCTGCAGGCGCCGCCGCTGGACGTCGGCAGTGGAGAAGTACCAAAAGAATTGGTGGAGCTCCATTTGAAGTTGATGAGGAAGATTGGCAAATCTGTTACAGCAGACAGATGGGAAAAATATTTAATCAAGGTCTCCAGATGTGACAGGACCCAGCCTGATAACAAGAAGAAACACAGGAAGCAGGAGGTGAGCCCAGTGGTGACATCCATGGTCCCCAGCTGCTCCCGTGGTGGTTTGGAATCCATCTGGGCCCACAGCACCAGGAGCTGCCGGGTTAGGCCTGTCAGGCCTCTCAGCAGCAGGGGCATCAGCACAGACATGACTTCAGACAGTGGCCAGCAGGAGCCCAAGTCAGGAAGTCAGAATGGCAACAAATGAAGATATTAAGACCCAAAGAGAAATACTTATTCCTAGCAATGTAGTCAAGTTAGTAATAGAAAATCAGAACTTGGGTAGATTTGGTGTTAAATTTGTAGTATAGTTGACCCTTAAAATATGGGTTTGTACACCTGTCCACTTACATGCAGAATTTTTAAAATAAATACAATATAGTACTGTAAAAAAAAAAAAAAAAAAGAACAAGTGGCAGTACCGACTGCCAGGAACCTAATCAATAAGGACATTAGTAAGATGTCGGAACTAGAGTTCAGAATGACAATTATAAAGATACTAGCTGGGCTCAAAAAAAACATGGAAGATACTAGAGAAACCCTTTCTGGAGAAATAAAAGAACTAAAATCTAACCAAGTCGAAATCAAAAAGGCTATTAATGAGGTGCAATCAAAAACGGAGGCTCTAACTGCTAAGATAAATGAGGCAGAAGAGAGAATTAGTGATATAGAAGACCAAATGATGGAGAATAAAGAAGCTGAGAAAAAGAGAGATAAACAACTACTGGATCACGAGGGCAGAATTCAAGAGATAAGTGATACCATAAGAAGAAACAATAGTAGAATAATTAGGATTCCAGAAGAAGAAAGAGAGAGAGGGACAGAAGGTATATTGGAGCAAATTATAGCAGAGAACTTCCCTAATTTGGGAAGGAAACAGGCATCGAAATCCAGGAGGCACAGAGAACCCTCCTCAAAATCAATAAAAATAGGTCAACACCCCGACATCTAATACTAAAACTTACAAGTCTCAGAGACAAAGAGAAAATCCTGAGAGCAGCTTGGGACAAGAGGTCTGTAACTTACAATGGTAGAAACATTAGATTGGCAGCAGATTGTCTTATCCACAGAGACGTGGCAGGCCAGAAAGGACTGGCATGATATATTCAGAGCACTAAGTGAGAAAAATATGCAGCCAAGAATTTTATATCCAGCTAGGCTGTCACTGAAAATAGAAGTAGAGATAAAAAGCTTCCAGGACAAACAAAAACTAAAAGAATTTCAAACACCAAACCAGCCCTACAAGAAATATTGAAAGGGGTCCTCTAAGCAAAGAAAGAGCCTAAAAGTAACATAGACCAGAAAAGAATAGAGACAATATACAGTAACAGTCACCTTACAGGCAATTCAATGGCACTAAATTCCTATCTTTCAATAGTTACCCTGAATGTAAATGGGCTAAATGCCCCAATCAAAAGACACAGAGTATCAGATTGGATAAAAAAAAACAAGACCCAGGTGCCTGGGTGGCTCAGTTGGTTAAGCGACTGCCTTCGGCTCAGGTCATGATCCTGGAGTCCCGGGATCGAGTCCCACATCGGGCTCCCTGCTGGGCGGGAGTCTGCTTCTCCCTCTGACCCTCCCCCTTCTCATGTGCTCTCTCTCAAATAAATAAATAAAATCTTTAAAAAAAAAAAAAAAAAACAAGACCCATCGATATGTAGTCTGCAAGAGACTCATTTTAGACC